AATTTTTTTTGTAGTGGAGGGGAACGAAGCTATGGAAATGTGTATACTGGCCTGTCCATGTGATTTTCCGATGCAAATATCTCTTTATACTACCATTTGCTTTTCTTATAAGAGAGACATCCAGGAGGGCAATTTTATCTTTTGATTCTTCCTCGCACGTAAATTTAATAATAGAATATTATTATTTGAATTGAGTTATTGCTGTGTCCCTATCCGAATCATTATCACAAAGAATAAAGGTGTCATCCATTTACAGGCAAAAAAGAGAGTTATCTGGTAAAGTTGTTCAAAGGTCCATTTTAACATGTAACTTCTAAATTGATATTAATAAGAACTTATAAGAGTGTTTATTTCATACACTACTGAAGGATTCCTTAGTCGAAGATAATATAAAAATCATATTGTCTCAACCAACGCGAAACGAACTTCAAGTGAAGATTTCATACTAAAAGCAGCTACCAGCATGATTTTATTTCCTGCATACATTTTCTGAAAAAATCGTATAATCTTAATAACAGTTGCCAGCTCAACGATGGCAGCTGGATGGATTTCCTGAATCTTTTAGGAAAAGTTATGACCGATGGCGTCCACCTTGTCAAGGTGCAATGGTACTCATAGAAAACATTGCTGATGACAGGTCGAGCTGAGAAAGTTAGGATTCGGAGATCAGTGAATTCCAGCCCAGTTACTGGATGGTCAATGGACTTGGTCTAGAAACCTGAAGATTCTGCGTCCGACTGCAAGGAGTCCTAAGAAAAGACGGAACAGCCCCTAGTGCTCAGTGGTTTGCAATGATCTCTTTAACTGTTGTTAGTTCGTTACTAAAATTGCACAATCGAAATTTAACTAAAATCTCCACAACCTATATAATCTAAATTAAAAACACAGCCTCCAAAACGACTAGATTTAAACACAAAGCACTTCGTATACTCCAAATGAACAGTGATCAAGATTTGACCAAAATAATTGGGTATCAAGTGAAAAGTAGACACATTTAAAACTTGTTCATTTCATTTCGCTGAAATTTTACAAATACAGTTTTTGCATACGTCTTCCCTCAAGCTCGTATAGCTTTTTTATCAAGCATACGAACTGTGGTGTTACACGATATTCCATTGTGCCTTCACCGCTAATGTGCAGTTTGCGTTTCTCGGAATAACTGGAGTTAGTTAGAAGGAGTAATTTTAAGAAACTACCTGTTATGATTACGTTTTACTGAACATATTACAACCTGGAAGATTGTACCCTAAAGACAAAGCTCAATGGCCAGGATGTTGTTTAAAGCAGTGATCCGAAAGCTTCAAATTTATTTAATACTTTCGTTTAGTCATTTTATTTTTCGAGTACTTCTTTCTTGACCCAACCACTCTCAATCTCCAGGTTTTATGATCGATCTTAAGTTTATCAAGCGAAAAAATGTTAATAAACGGAATACTATAAAGAAAAGACTATCTATAGCTACTCGTCAATTGTTGCTATCTTGGCGCGAACTGAAAATCGTCAACTGTCAGAATTTCATTAGTTGTGCATAGACAATACATCCAACGTTGATGAATAGACTTTAAAAAGACAATAGATTCAGTTACAGCATCCTCACTAATTGTGATGAGGTCTACCGAAATCTTTAGATTTTAAGTAAAGACTTCGTTTTTAATTTGACGAAGTCACTCACCGAGGACATCGATGGAGCATTGGTGTTTATCACTTATTTCAGTAGATATTTATACAGTTACTTGGTTTTGTGTTCTAAAATTAAAATATTTCCTTAGTTTTATACGTCTACACGGTCTTTTGATTAAATAACCTGAAATGGTAAATAATTAACTTCTCAATTACGCTAAGTAATAATATGTCCGAGTGGCTACTGTTCTCAGAAAACTATTGTCATATTTACACATGTCCTTATTGAACTGATATCATAATGCAGAACATCTGTCCATCAATAAAAATATCCTATGCATCCTTTTTCTAGCACAGTTAATCAATTATCCCGTACAAAATAAACATAGCCTAGATTGATTAATTATGGACCGTTTAAAGACAGAAAATCATTAGCGAAGGTTAATATCCAAATACATTAACCAACTTTTAATACTGCATTTCTATTCCCTGGAACAACGTGCACTCAGTTGAATAGTCTCTGCCTAAGCTATTCAGAATACACAGTTAACATTGAAATCGACTGATCAATAGTGATTAGCAGTGGAATCCATGATTGCGTATTTCATCCTGTTTGGGATTCGTCAACTTGGTGTACTTGCATTCCCCAGTGAGTGAAGTTATTGTCAACGAGGCTCAAACACAGGCTCATAGTCTCAAACGCCGAAGCGTTATCCACTAGACACTTGGGCCACGAGAGACACCTCTTGTGCAACGGGTTTCATGAATTATTCACATCAGTTTTGATTTTCCCCAACCGATGGGACAATCTGAACTGAATTAAATAATTACATACTTAACACCAATAATCTTCTTGTGCCAGAAAAGCTCTGAGAAGTTTTTCATTACTTTCCGGTGAACGTTAAAATGATGGATATCTATTGAGCTAGTTCTTTAATTTGATTCTATCATAAATTATTCAACTTAAAAGGATTATTTCAGTTATCGATTCACGTATTACACTCACTCTATTCCATTTTTGATTGATTTCTAAGGATTAGAAACATGGTGTTTCTGTGGATTAAATTTAACACTGACTGTATGTCATCGAAAAAATGCACAAAGAGTTAAATGCAACTTAGAATTCAAATTCTGCTTTATTTTCTCTCTTCTCAAGTAATTTTTTAGCTTTAGGTAGCCTAAGGAGTACTTTTTTCTAGCTGAATAACATTCTGCCGAAATTGCATCTTATAAATATTCGATTTTATATTTTAGCAGCTGCGACTATTGATCTGCGATAATAGTTTATCATGCGTGTGAAATGACTAAAATATGGAAAGAGACGACTGCATGACTGTATGTTCTCATTGTATCCCAAGGTTTCCTGTGAGCCTTATGTCAGTATGTAGCATGCAACATCACCGTCATGTGCCTGTAATGTTTCTTTCTGGATAGTTCTTTTCCATTAAGTGGAATTCATTGGTAAGGCTATCAAATTGTGGATTTTTTTATCTCTATTTGTTTTACGGTAACCATACCTCCCTTTCCAGAAGAATTCTCTCTCTAATTCTTGAACTCCCTATCAGACTATAATATTGACTCATTCATACTTTAATCTCATGATTAAGCATTGTGTTCCGAACAGTAAACTTTGCTTTGATTGTTAAAAAAACAGTCATGTGTTCAGCATTACATGTAGTGGTTTCTATAATTTCAGGTGTTATAACTCAAAAGGAACAAGCTGGATTCAGGAGAAACAAATCATGTATTGATCAAATCGCCACTCTACGGATCATCATTGAACAAAGCTTGGAATAGCAGTCACCTCTCCACCTCACTCAACTTCATCGACTTTGGAAAGGCCTTCGATAGTGCAGCGTCGATCGAGAGGTCATTTGGCAACTACTTCGCTACTACTGTGGGGTGCCATCGACAATTATACATCTCATCCAACAGTTGTACGACAATGCTGCATGCCAAGTAATCCACAACGGGAAACTTACGGAAGCCTTTGAAGTGAGGACGGGAGTGAGGCAAGGCTGTCTACTATCGCCAATGATTTTCCTGACTGCAGTAGATTGGATAATGCAACAGACAACCGGCAATGAGGAAACAGGCATAAAATGGACTCATACAAAATGAGACTTGGAGGATCTCGACTTCGCCGATGATATATGTCTGATTTCCCACAAACTGGAAGATATGCAAGTGAAAAGCGACAAGTTGGCAGAAGAAGCATCCAGAGAAGATAGGACTTCCTTCAGGTGAACATAGATAAAACAGAGGTGATGAAGATTCCTGAGATAGTAACAACAACAGACAACAATCAGCCTGCATAAATGGGAGGAACCTGAAAGAAACAAACTCCTTTACCTACCCACCTACCTGGAAGCATCGTTTCAACTACAGGTCGATGGAACTGACGAGGTTTGAAAGCGAGGATCGGAAAAGCAAGACAAGCTTCAATTACTCTCAAGTCTGTGTGAGGGTCAACAGCAATCAGCATCAAAAATAAGATCCGGATTTTTAACTTCAATCTGAAGTCAGTCTGCTGCTCACTATATGAATCAGCTACTTGCACTGCGCGTCATAAAGAGCATCTCAAACAAATTACAGACCTCCATTAGAAGCTGTCTTTGCTCAATACTCAAGATCAGATGGCCGGCCAGAAAAGATCATCAACAGGGATCTCTGGCAATGAGCAAACGAACACAGCAGGTACCGACTGTCAAACAATTAGGCAGGAAGAAATGGAGGTGGATTGGCTGGCCATACTTGAGGAAACAATCAAGTGACACCACTAGACAAGCCATTGTTCGAGTGGAACCCGAAAGGGAAGTGGCGAGTTGGTCGTCAGTGCAAGGGTGACTTGGAAGAGGTCATGTGAAGAGGAGATGAAGACATGTGGGCAGACTTGGTGCGGGGTGTAAAAGTTGGCAGAAAACAGAAGGCAATTTAGACGCACGGCTGAAGCCCTAGGTTCCTGTAGGAATAAAAGTGCATAATAATAACTCAAGAGAATAGCTGCCATACATTAGGTCTCATATTCTTTCTTCCTTTAGTAAATCACTTATTTGCTACATATGATGATTAAATAGGATGAAAGAGCGATGAGGAAATGACGTCATTTCTTCTGATTAACATATGGTTACCATTAAAACTTCGTCTTCTTCAGCATCTTCATCTTCAACATTTAGCGTATATTTAATAATCAGTTTACTACCGCTTTGTGCTTAACAGCTTAATTCCTTTCATTTTAGTTTCTTTTCAAGCGTAAATTATGTTAACTCGAGCTTCTGTGTTTATCTGCCTGTGGATACATATGGAGACCCAAGTAATGTTTACTTTGTATTATTAAAAGCTATTTCTATGGGAAAATTCCAAGTGAAAACGACAATACTGCACTGAGCAGAAGTAACTTCTATTTCAACTACCCATGAAAACATAAAAATATTCATTACCCATGTGATCTTATACATATATATATATATCTTTTAACTGGTATCTGTAATTCTATTAGAAACCTTTGGTTATATACAAACGTGCATGACACCCTAATAATATAATGAAGGCATATTGTTCAAAAACAAAACAAAAAAAACAGAAACAGAAGTTGATTGATCTGAATTCAATAAAGATTTAGACTATTTGTGATAATGATTCCATAAATTCATCACTTGACATTTGATGGGATAATTTAAGTGATTTTGATAATATACTCCTTTTACTGCCTTGTTTGTGCACACAATCAGTTGCTTTTCTTTCTTGAGTATTTTCATAGTCATCACTTTCCTCCTCTTCCTCTTCACCTTCATCATCGCCATCATCCTCACCATCATCAATTTCATCTGGACCTATATAATGCAATTTACTGGGTATTTTAAACGGATTCTGAAATATATCTGCGCATAAAACATGATCATGTTGTGCCCGAAACAATGATGTCAAATCTAAAGGTACTGGAAATACAATAGTTGACTGTTTTCCAGAAGAAATGCTGTTTACTGTTTGTAAATAACGCAGCTGCATAGCGATTGGATGTTGTTTTATTTCTACAGCTGCTGCTTTCAAAGCACCGGAAGCACGCATTTCACCTTCAGCTGCAATAACCTTAGCTGTTGCCTCTCTGACAGATTCCGCTTCCGCTGCCATTGCTCGTTGAAGCTGAATAGGTAAGCGGACATCTTTGATTTCAACTCTTTCAACTTTTACACCCCATGCCTCTGTAACTGAATCTAGACATTCCTAAAAATGTGAAAAGAAATAGAAAAAGCAAAATGTAATTTTTGTAATAAGTACCAAAATATGGAGGAGGAGAATATTTACCAAACTCACCATTTCAGTCTTATGCAACCTTTATTTCTTTGATTTACTAGGTCACTTCAGCTGTAAAAAGATATACTCTTATAGCGTTTTCATATTTGTTTCCTCCGCTCACTATCCTAATTTATTTACTACACTTCTTGTAAACATCTAGCAGTCTTATCCATATAATCAGTATTTCTGTTGGTATTATCTATGCTATTACCGTGACTACAAATTGTTTCTTTGCATAAATCCGGCTGGTTGTAGCATAATTAGTAAAAATAGCTGACTCGAATTGATAAATCAGCGTAAATTCAATTTGCTGGAGCAGAATAAAGGCGGCGTTTCCTTTCACTACTTTAATGTAGGATAGACTGAAGCTAAAAACGTGACTGGAAAATAATGACCGACCAATTTCATTTTATTGGTAATGACGTCACTTCAAGGAATCCTTAGCAGAGTGAAGTTGTTTTGGAATATTTAGTGTCAGTCTGATTGCTAATATATATCAGCAATAATTACTTGACAAAAAAAAACCAAAATCTATCTCATTTGGTTCCTGGCACAATAAGAGCAAACTAAAACGACTACTTGTAATAAATGACTTGTGAAAACTACACAGTTAGAGGCAGAAAACTATTTCAAATTGATTCAGGCTACCTAAAATACGTCGAATAGATTAAACTTCTTATTTGGTCGAAAGCTTCTGACTGGTGTACCTAATACCTAAAAGGTCACCATTAGATACAATACTTGCATATGTTTTCATGGCTGTGTTGAAACTGATTCGTTGAAGCGGACAGTTGAAAAGGACATTTTGATGATACTTTCACTATTTGTGGTGATAAATGTCACCTAAATAATGTCACGCAAGATTTTGTTAGCAGCTACTCAACCGTCAAATTCACAATTGAAGTAGAAACCTAACAGAAAACCTTCTTTTTTTTATTTTTTTTTATTTTTGATTACAGCTTGATCCCACACCGTATTTTTGGTACAAGTATGGAATTTTCAGCGTGGATATCGGTAGCCCAAATTTTGCAGGCCGACCATAGATATCAAGTGTGCGTCGGCGAGGGCTCGAACCCCGGACCATGTGCATGGTCGGCGAGAGTCCTAACCACTGTGCCACCGACGCAGAAGACTAATAGGACTTTGGGTAGATAAGTATATAGAAAGCTTACGTGGAACGGACAGTTGAAAAACTTTTGCGGCTGGGTACACATTAATCCTAAGTGGGCTCTGATAATATTGCTTGCGATTAAGATTCGGTGAATTTGCAGCCCTAAGTCAGTAGATTAGGAGATTACTCTTTTTAGGTAGACACTAGGTGAAAATACCTACCTCCCAAGCTTTGTCGATGAATGTGAAAACCAACAAAAACACTCAATTTCTCTGCTGAGGAAGATGCTATACATGAATTTGACCTTCGTACTGACACTCTAAAGAGAAGTATATCAAACGTCCCAAAAATAACATTCATCACTGCTACATTAACAGGTTTATTCGCGTACGGCCGAGTGTTCTGCAATAGCTGGATAAACTATCTCATTTGACCTGGTCTAGGTGCACCTACCAGTACACATGTTGCTATCAAGCGAGATATATAGGTCGCTCACAATGAATTTTATCTTGGAAAGTTAAGGAGAAGTTTCCTGTCAAACTGCAGAAAGTTGAGAATGGATCAATAAGAAATGTTATAATGGAACATAGATACTGAACATTGATCACTCAATATGCATGGAAAATTCATTCAAAGTTATCTACAAAACCGAAAGAAGCTTCACAAAAACTGGTACGTTTCCGCATACTTTGCATTGTCAAGGTCTTAGAGATTCGGATGGAGAGCTCTGATTAATGTACACAGAAGAAAATTTTTTATTCCTTTCTTCCTACTTTAGTTATAATTCCACGCCCAACTTTAAATCACTTTACTGTCATCAGTATTTTTCTGCTTGTTTACATATGACATTTTTGACATCACTTTAACAACTTTTTATTCATTCCCTTTGTCTACTGCATAATTTATTTTGATAGTTGTCTCCATGCTATTCCATCAGCATCCGTTCATACTACTCAACCTAAGGGTAAACTTAGTAATCTTCACCCCCTAGTTGCAACTTTTCTGTTCATCATTGTTTTGAAATATTTTGATGATGTAAGGATAATGGAAAGTAATTTTTTATTTTGGTTTGACAACGCTAACGTACACTCACATACCAAAAAATTATTATATATTATTACGATTGTACAGCTAATTGAGGAGACTCTTTGCAGAACTGTTTTTTCTAATATTCGATAGTAACACTGCCCATTACTTGACAACTACCACACACTTATCTTTTCATCACTCAAAGGTCCAGAAAGAGTAATCTGGTAACCAGATTCTCGTAATGTCAATAAACTTACAACAATTCTGTTTTTAATATATACCCGTTTGAATAAAGTGCCTTGTTTAAGTTATATTATTATTGTTCGCCTGGGTTCCTAGTGAAACATATGGCTTCAACTGCACGTCTCAACTTGTTTCTGTCTTCTGATACACTTTTCACCTGCATCCAAATTAGTCCATACTGTTACAGCTCCGCTTCACATGATCTCCTCCATGTCCCCCTTGCATTGACGACCCACTCACCTCTTCCATTTCGGCCTGGTTCCACTATAGCAATGGCTTGAAGCGCGATGTCACCCAGCGGCCTCCTCAGCGAGTGTCCAATCCATCTCCACTTTCTCCTGCATATTTGTTGGTTGGCGATCGGTTCTTGTTTTCTTTCTTTCCATAGTTTCTTGTTGGTGATTCTTCCAGGCCCGGCCATCTGATCTTCAGTATAGAGCCAGTGAAGACAGTAATTGATAAAGGTTTGAAATAGCCTGTTAGAAATATTCTTTGTGACCAGCCCGCCCGCCAAGTTTCTGATCCGTATAGGAGAACTGACTGACTTGACGTTGTTTGTATTGAAAATCCGACCGAATTTCGTTGATGATGCTGGCTGAGTGACGAAGATTTCCCGATTGGTTGATTCAGGTTGATGAATGTGTTCCTTGCCTTCCCGATTCTCACTCGATTTGACATCCTCGTCTGTTCCGACTGCCTGTAGTTGAAACAATGCTCCCTAGATAAATGAGTGAATGAAGTAATCGCGTTCAAATCCCTCCCGTTGATGTGATTGGCGCTGGATGTTGCTGCTGTTGTTGTTGTTGGCTGGTTGGTTATTTTCATAACCTCCGTCTTGTCTATGTTCACCTGGGATCCTGTCTTCGCCGGCTGCTTCTTCGACCAATTTGTCGGTTTTTGCTTGTAAGTCTTCGATTTTGTGTGACATTAAGCATAAATCATCCACTAGCGAAATCAAGGTCTTCTATGTTCTTCACGTCAGTCGGTCCAGGATATCCTTGTCTTCTCGTTTCCCACTCACTGTCTGACGCATAATCCAGTCAGTCCACCACAATTAGGAATATCATTGGGGATAATAAACACCCTTGTCTGACTCCTGTATTTACTCTAAACGCCTCGCTGAGTTTTCCGTTGTGGATCACTTGACATGTGCCGTTTTCGTACAGCTGTTGAATGAGGTTGATGAATATTTGTGCACCGCACGCCGTAGTACTCCAGTAGTTTCCAAACTACTTCACGATCGACGCTAAATGTTGAGGTAAATGTTTGATTGCCATTCCATGCATTGTTCTGTGATGATGATGTGTAGAGTTGCAATTTGGTTAGAACATGATTTGCCTTTCCTGAATCCAGGTTGTTCTCGTAGGAGTTCTGTCTCCAGTGCGTCATTTATTCTCTCCAAGATTATGCGACTCAGGATTTTACTTGGTGTCGACAGGAGCATGATTCCTCGCCAATGCTTGCAGAGTGAGTCCTAAGTCGCCCTTCTTTGGTAGTTTCACGAGGTAACCTTTCCTCCAGTCAGTAGGCACCTTTCCCTCCTTCCAGACCTTTTGCAATAGTGGAGTTAGCATGTCTGCTGTAGTCTCTGGGTCCGCTTTCAGTGCTTCAGGGGGTATTCCATCTGGTCCAGCTGCTTTTCCAGCTTTCAGAAGTTTGATTGCATTCAAGACTTACGCTCTCGTTGGAGGATCGGTGTCAACTTGCAGTTGTGTACGTACTGTTGTTGGTATTTATGTACGGGTTGCAGGTGATCGTCGTTTCAAGAGTCCTTTGAAGTGATCCGCCCATTGTTTAATCTGTCTTTCTTCCTTGGTAATTGGGTTCCCTTGGCCGTCTTTTAATAGATAAAATGAAGTGATGGCAAAACTTCTAAAGACTACCTAGAATACATCTTAATAATCTGCATTAAGTATGATATAAGAATAAAACTTGTGCACTGTGGTAGAGTGTAATTCCATTATGGGTAAATTTTTGTTTTGATAAAGTCTCACAGTGTTATACAGTAATGTTTACTGATGACGTTTCGAGCACAATTTATTGCTCATAATCATATCAAGGTAATCACACGACTTCCTAACTTCATTTATATAGTTCCATTATTTTTCACTTGATTTGATTGGTAGTAATATTTTCCATATTTCAGGTATGAGTGATGAATCATTCCTATTGCATGTGTTGGGTGTAGACTCGATGAACAAGGATTCAGTAATCAACCTCTCTCTCCACCTACCTAGATTACTTTTTAGAATTTTAACCCTCTCCCACCCTATTGTGTGGTTGTGTGTTAATGCATGCATTGCAATTGCTGAGCTTTTTTCTAAATTACTTATCTTCTCGGGGTCAACCATTCTTACCTTAGCTAAATTTCTATGTTCTGACAATCTGACTACCCCTGACCTACTAGTTTGACCTATGTAGTTGACCTCACAGTCATTGCATGGTATTTTGTAAATTATATTATTTTGTCTAATTGGGTCAACTGGGTCCTTTAACCTACAGAGCTTGTCCCTGAGTGAGTTTGTAGGTTTGAATGCCACCCTAATTCCTGCTTTATTTAGAATCCTACGTAGGGTTTCAGATGTCCCCTCTTTATATGGTATAACTGTGGATGACTTATATTCTTTCTTATTTATGTTATTATTACTAGTTTCACAATTATTTTTATTTTTTGGCCTTTTTAGATCTTCCTAATGAATTTTAAAGGATAGTTATTCAACACCAAAGCCTCTTCTATCTGTTTTAATTCATCATTTAGGTCTTTTCTTGTGCTACTTAGTGCCACTGCTCGGTTTGTTAAACACTTAACTAAGCCTGCCTTAACAGTTAACGGATGAGATGAATTAAAGTCTAAGTATCTATTAGAATGAGTTGGTTTTCTGTACACACTAGTGTGTAGTTTACCTTCTTCTATTCGTTTTATTTTACAATCTAACATAGCTAATTCTCCTTGTTCATTTTCCGATTCAAATGTGAATTTTATTCCCTCTACTTGTGAGTTTATATGTGTCAGGAAGCTAGAGATATGTTCTGTTTTTAACACTGTGAAAGTGTCATCCACATATCTCCACCATATTTTTGGAGTAGGATTAAATGTATTAAGAGCACTACTTTCCCAGCTGTCCATAAATATGTCTGCTACAATAGGGGATATTGGTGATCCCATTGCTACACCTTCTGTTTGTCTATATATTTTGCCTTGGAACTTAAAGATGGTAGATGTGAGGCATAACTGAATCCCTAACATAATTTCTTCAATGGGCAGCTTTGTCCTATGATTCAGTTCAGGATCCGCAGTTAGTTCTTTTTTAACTGCTTCTAAGGCCATAATGACTGGTATATTAGTGTAAAGACTAGTTATATCAAAACTAACCATTTTTTCATCATTCTCTAGTTGAATGTCGTTTAGTTTATTTTTCATCTCATATGAATTAGTTAATCTAGAGTTTGAACGATTTCTAATGGGGCATAGTATTAGAGCTAAGTGTTTTGATAATTCATACGTGGAGGTATTTCTAAAATCTACTATTGGTCGTATGGGGTAACCTGGCTTATGTATTTTAATAGTACCATATATTCTACTAGCATTATTAGTTTTAGGCATTAAATTAAACCATTTTGACTCACCCAGTGACGGCTTCATTCTGCGTATTAGTTCCGCTGTAGATTTCTTAACCTTATTCATTATTGTGTCTACAGGCTTCTTAATTTCCTCATATGGACCCGTTTGAATATGTTCAGTAATTTTTTTGATATAGTCAGGTTTATCCAGAATTACGGTGGCGTTTCCTTTGTCAGCTTTTGCGATGACAATATTTTTATCCTGTTTTAGACTAATTAAAGCTTCTCTTTCCAATTTTGTTAAGTTCAGTTTTGTTTTCTTTTGATTTTTCAGGGTTAATGCACATTGTGCTCTAACCTCTTCTGCTGTCATCTTATCTATTGAGCTTAGTGCTACTTCTATGTTAGGAATGACATCCTCTGGTTTTAATTTATTAACTGTTACGTTGAAATTTAGTCCTTTCTCAAGTACTTTTATCTCACTAGAGCTTAGTTCCCTTGATGAGAGGTTGATCATTCACTTTGTTCTGTCGATAGATGATGAAGTGTTGACATCAATTTCATTTGTTGTGTTCTCTTCTTCAATTAGTTTGTTGAATTTTCTGATTTGTGTAATTTTTGATTTTCTTAAGGCTGATTCTCTAGCTTTTTCGGATGTTTCAACGATTGCATAATCGTTGTCACTGACCATACATTTGAGTTTCTGTTTGAGTTTTTCGATTTCATTTCGTAAATTATTTAGTTTCACAGTAATTCGATGTAGTTCTTCTCTTAGACATAATCTACTGAGATGTTCAGCTGCTGATGTTATTTTTTTGAAGTAATTGGAGTACGTAGATGTAAATAGTTTGGAATAATATGATTTTTTAAACATCGACTGTTAAAAATCCGATGATTTGTGAATCTTGCTTCAGCTTGACTAAGTCGTGTGAGTTTGTTGATAAGCTTCCTAGTAGGAAGACCATAAGTATCATTGATATAAGAAGATTAAGTATGGAATCTGAAGGAAACGAATGTAATATTTCTATGTTTTGTATCGGTGATAATTCGATTGATTTTGCAAGATAATTGACAGCATAATCTGCATCTGCATCAGTCAACTGTTTTCAGGGCCACAACGAACCCTTATAAATTTAGCTGTTATGATAATTTATACAGATCAGATAAGATTATGAATTCACAACTCTATCATATTGAAGGTTCCAACATGTAATTCAACCACAAATGTTAGCTGTTCAGTCATGTTGTGACTCCATAGATATAAATCGATACAGTGTTAAGCCTATGACACAACTAATAAAATGATGGAAAAATTGAATCCTTAATTGCTGATTTGAGTAAATTGGCTGTTAAACCAACAAGTGCCAGCAGTACAAGTAACAAATGAATCCCTAAACAAAGAGTGTAGACAGTTTACCAGTGTTGGTTAGTTACAAGTGAAATATTATGAGTTGACAGGTATTCATTGGCTGAGAAACTTCAGAGATAACTCTTGAGACTCTGGAGTACTCATCTTTTGTCTTGATCAAAACTAAAAGATAATGTTGTTATCCAGTGGTTTCATCTCATTTTTATATTCTGTTAAATTTAGGTTACTTTAAAACCCGGGTTGCCCTGTTCCGAAGTCAGAGAATTTACCAATGAGTTAACGACTGACCTCTTGTAGAGCTGCATAGGATACTTTGATTGAACGCTAACAACAATGCAAAGTATACCATGATATTGTGCTACATAGAATGGTGGTTACACTTCAAGCTTGACTAATAGAATTCGGTCTGCACCACAGAAAGGACTAAACGGATGCATTAGCTACTACCTAGTGTACAAATTTCTATGCTGCATATGAGCTGTCACTCAGGTTCTCGAAGAAACGCAACAAGAAATATGCCAAAGTATTTGCCGCCATTTTAAGGCAGACTAGCATGATAGTCCATTCACTATTCAGAGTCTAAATATTGAAGGAAGATCCTTATAAAACCAACAACAGAAGAACTATGGAGCCTATAGACAAAGGGAAATATATTAAGGAGACGAATAATTAGCTCATAAATAATTGTGAAACCTGAAGCTTTATGTTAAATCGTATCCAAATATAAGACGACAGAATCAGAATAACCTCAGAGACAAATTTTAAAGCAGGTCAAACGGTAATGCAAGATAGGTTGTGAATGAAAAATAAGTCTCCCATTCGGGTTCGACTTTATGGCAGATGCAAGCTTTTAAATTCACTATCGTCCTATGAACAACTCGTTAAAGTTTAATTTTTTAAAGAAGCTTTAAGGGGTGACGAAAATCTTCAGCAGATTTTCATGATCATTACATTAACCAGTCAACTGCTGTCTAGCGATTCCTAATTCCCAATAATTTTCCAACTGATGTTGGTTCACAATGAAATCAAAACTGAAACACCAAGGACTCTTGAAAATTGCGAGAATGGCTCTAAATGATTTCAGCTGGACGTAAGTGAAATTATATGATACACGTGAAAAATCTGTCGACTGAGAAATCAGACAATGTTCTAAACGTGAAGTTTTCTAACCACAATAATGAAGTGAGTGACGGGATTATGAATGCCCTCAAGGGAATATTTTCATATTACAACTTAATAAAGGTATGCTCAATTAACTTCTTTAATATCTTGAAAACTTAATGGATCACGTCAGCCGAATTCATTTTTTACGCGAAAAAGCATGACAACAGCTTCTGCTCAGAAACATCAAAAAGGGTAATCTCAAAACCCACCTGCATCAAAGCAGCAATGTCCTCTCTGGCTGTGAGTAGTTCGTCCAAATTTACTGTCCCTAATACATTAAGTAATGTAGTTTGTCCAAGAACTCGAGTTGCACGGTTAGCATCCTCAACATTAACAACAGCGCGTACAGGATCTCTTACACGATAATAAACCACAGCATTTACAACAACTGTCACTGAATCCTTGGTTAGAACTTCTTGGGTAGGCACATCAAATGTAAATGTACGTAAATCCAAGACACGATAACGATCTAAACAGGGTAAAACAAATATTAATCCTGGTCCTTTAGCAGTTGCTGAAACAAGTCTTCCCAGACGAAATAGTACCGCACGTTCATAGTGTGTAACCACCTACAAAAAACAGAAAAAAAATAAATTAATTTTATTATGGATTTCAGAGAGCTAATGAAAATACACTAACCTCAAACGAAAGAAAATTTCAGGGTTTTGCAGCGTTTCTCATAAAACAGGACGTTGGAATCTTAGTACGTGATGAGTTGCTATACTCTTTGCGTCGAAAGATCAGCATGTTCAGAAGTGGGTCATAAGGCTTGTTTTAAAGCCTGTATTAACCAATTAAGTGCGTTAAAGTTGATAGCTAGGTTTAAATATTGTATAATTTTATTTATTTCGATTCACACTTTTCCATTGGGTGAATGAACTAACGTTTTCGGCCTCTCTTTACATTTCCTATCATTGTGCGGATACCTCGACGATGTCTGAAGATTTAACTTGAGGTAATTTGGTGGATAGGGAATAACAGTGTATTGCAGGTACATCCAATTGACGAGCCTCAAATCGGACAAAATGCGCATCCTGAATTCAACTGTTAGACAACATCCATCACATGATTGTTCATTTTTGTTTGATTTAAATGTCTTGTTTTACGAGTTGATCACGGATTGATATCAGTTAGAGAACCATTGAAAACCAGGGAGTACTGGACAGCTGCTGTCTCATCCTAGTTTGGGAATCATCGGCAGTACGCTGGGTTCGAAACCCAGTGGCTCCAAGAACCGTTTAGTAACAAAAAACTAACAAAAATATGTGTTCTACCGGATGCGACGCAACTTAAAAAAATTAAATGTCTTGATCAAAAATACGCACATATTATGCCACTAATGTGTTTGTCCCCACATTCCTGATAACTTGAATATCACTCCACAGTATTCGTAAAGTTAAATCATGTGCTCTTTATACATTATCTTTCCCTATAACTACTGATACGATGTGCAGATTTCTATTTGTTTATCTGGAATTATTTTGTTTGTTTTTTCTCATTTTGTAATATAAATATTTAGACGAAATGATTTCTGTTATGATATAAACGTCTTAATTACCTTTTTATAGTCAGTACACTTCACTGAAAATTGCTTTTTATGAATTCAAGTTCATCATGATATCAGTTTCGTGATACATACATATATAATGCACTTTTCCCAAATAAAAATCGTAGATAAGTGGCATGATTAGAGAAAAAACCAACTAAAAATTAGTGCATAGTTTCTTATCTTTTCAGAATATGATTTTGTAGAAGGCTGAAATTCAATAGATTATTTTCTGGCTTATTAACTTTTACATTGAAAGAAAGTTCCGATTCCGGCAACCATTATTGGTGCAGTGATGTGCCAATTAGTAGAGGAGACATAACGTTTTATCTACAATTCAAACTCTCTGGTGAACCAACATTTAAACTTATCTGCTACCTTTGCAATAACCCCTATAATCTCACTAAATCATGACCATTTACTTTTCCTAAGTACATACCGGTAAAAGTGAGTTGAGAAAATGTGACCAAGAAGTTAGTGTGATGTTTAAAAGAGCAGTAAAAGCTGAACAAATAACCGGTAACGAGAGAGAAATGACAGCTTCTTAGCAAGTGGATTTCTTTTGTCCCTTAAGACGATAATCGGCACATCTTTTATTCAATGTTTAAATTATTACTCGTCATGTTAAAATCTGCCTACCAACTAAAGACGATCCCAGACAGCTTCTTAAGCTAGATATAGTTGTGCAAAAGTGAAGAGATGCTATAAAATAAAACACAAAACCTAACAACTGTGTTATTTAGAAATAAGACAGTGGAACCAGTCTAAAATAGTAATTATTGTTAAGTGAGTGCAGTGTGGCTTTATGTCGTTCGATAGTAAATATGTTATCATTCTCGTACTTCTGAAGACAAAATTTTATAACGAAGAGTGTTAAGAAATCTTCCAAACTATAAGCAGAATAGGGAAATAGGAAAGATTTTCTTCGAGAGAAAATGTCGTTCTCATTTCACTATACCTTGACAGCAACACTTGCAAATCGTACCTTTCACAAGTGTATCGTAATACAATGCCACTAATGATGGCTAACTCTTAAGTTCACAGAATTTGAAAACTGACTCATATAGGCGAAGGTTAGAGGAATTAGTAATGTGTCTAATAACTGATAAATTAAATAAAAATGACTTCCAACCCTATTTATCATTGCCGAATTTTCCCTTTGAATGAAATTATAAAAACGACCATTTACTGATTGCTCAGTAAGAGGCAACTACAATTATATCTGTGGTTCTACCTATTGCTGTAGACTGGATGTAACCAGTCACGTCTGCATCGTGGTCAACAAGCTAGGTTATCTGCTAATCTTCAGTATGAATAGGACGATAGTAGCATGGCTGAGTGCAACGCTGTCTGAAGCGGTTTCTTATCTTCATCAGGACATGTGTCCATTTAGAAACATACTTATGCTCCGCTGACTAGTGAAAATGAACTCGAAACCTGGACCCAAGGCTTTGTACTGATTACCTCTGGTCTCTTTGAACCCGTATATAATAATCCGCTTAAACTATCTTAAAAACATAGACATTCTAAATTGCATATGTATGAAGTATGTGCCTGGTAGGGCGATGAAAGCTTCGCAAATTAACTATCCAGCTCAGAGAACAAAACCAAATCAAAATTGCATATGTTTATTCACTGTTTTTCATTTGTACCCAAAGTACTGCAACCGTTAAAAAGTGATACGCCGAATTTTACATTTTCTCTGAAATTAATTTTTCAGTTTTGCATATAAAGATGATGCTGTATTGCTGGAAATGTCATTTGATGAAAAAAGAGCTTGCACAAGTCAGCTGTAATAACAGAAAGATATGTGCTAGTCACGTGTTTGCTCTGAATGGTAGTCTTTGCCGTTTGATATCTGTAACTTCAGCTACATGTACCAGTCTGCGTACATTTGGAAATTTGGACGTTATTCTATCATAAATACCAGGAGCATAGTGAACGCCTAATTTTTATTCAGTGAAACATCTAAATATCATTTAACGTTTCAATATTAATAGTTTGAAATAAATGTATATAGTTTGAATTGAATTTCACAAGCTCGATTCAGGAGAAGCAAATCATGTGTGCATAAAATTGTAAAGCTAAGAATAATCACCGAACACAACATCGAATGGTGGTCAACTCTCTTTCTGAATTTCTTCCGCAGTGAAAAGGTCTTAAATATCGAAGTAATTTTGGAGGTATCTCAACACTGTGGAGTGAACCGAAAAAGTTACCAACCCCATTAAACAGGTAAATACTGATGCCCCATATCAATTGATTCACAATGGAAAGATAAGTGGAGCTTTTAAAGTGAGGCGAGGAGTAAGTCAAGACTGTCTACTATCAGCAATGATATTATGTGGCTGACCGTGTGGAGTGAGCTTACAGGAATACGCTGGACCGACAAGAAGACAGTAAGAGATATTGGCTCTGTGAATAATTTGTGTCAAATATCATAAAAAGTCGAAGATCTGAAGGCAAAATGCACCAGGTTGGCGCAAGAGGCAGGCAGCAAAGACAGCACATGAAGTGAACATTAAAAAGACAGAGGTGGTGAAGATAACCATCGAACAACAATCACCAGTCACTATACACGGGAGAGTTTTGAGGGAGGTTACTTCTTTCGCTTATCTAAGCAACATAATTTCAACTACAGACGACAGTACGGATGAGAATGTCAAAACCAGAACCGGAATAGCAAGGCAGACTTGAAATTAGTTCAAAAATATTCTGCACTCAATAAGACTGGAATCTTTATCACTGATTCCCAGTCACTTCTTTTATATGGGTAGGAGAATTGTCACGTGCATCACCGAAGGCTTTTTCAGCAGGGTGCCGCAGACTTTTATCAACAGCTGCCTTTACTCCATGAGAAAGATCAGATGGCCATTTCGAAAGGATGAACAACGAGAAACTCAGGGAAAGAACTAATCAGTGACTTAACACTCAACTAATGTGTAGAAAAAACTGATTATGGACCAGAAAAACACTGAGGAGACCTTTGGGAAACATCAAGCGCCAAGCTGTCGATTGAGTGGAATCCGAATAAGGAACGACGAGTGGGGGCAGGAAATAAGAGACTACGGGTAACCTTTTGGCCAGCAACAGAGCACTACAGAGAAAAAAGTGAAATAATGATGTACTGCATAATTGTCTCGTCCCAGTTTGGGACTCTTCATCAGTACACACCAACGGGGATTCAAACCCAGGAAATTCTGGTTACAAGGCGAGCTTGTATACCATTAAGCCACTGGGACCCAATCCAATGGCCCACGGTCGCGCTATGTCGTTTATTGGCAGAAGTTAGAATTCATGGGCCATTGGATCGTGTCCCGGTGGCTTAATGGTATACGAGCTCCCCTTGTAACCAGAAGGTCTTGGGTTTGAATCCCGAAATGGAGATGTGTTTTCGAAACCCTATTTTGCACTCAATGCGTTGCTGGCACAACGGTAGGATGCTCGCTGGCCATTCATGTGGTCAGGAGTTCGATTCCAGGCCAACACACGCTTTTACCTCGATAAGTCGGCATTATGACTGGTAAGGTGCGTCGGTGGCATAGCGGTTAGGATGCTAGCCGACCATGCACATCGTCTGGGTTCGATTCCCGGCCAACGCATTCCTTTACCTCGCCAAGCCAGAAAAAATGCTGGTATATAGCAACCCTATCCTGTAAAAATAAAACACTGCTACGGAAACTTCAAGCCACTAGCTTGAAGCCCTATGTCCCACTGGGAACGTGAAGGAAAAATTATTATTATTATGACTGGTAAGAGAGTAAGGGTTGGGCATGAGGCCAGCAACCCCATTCAGTAAAAATAAACGCCACTGCTACTGAAAATTCGTGCCTTTGGCTTGAAGCCCTATTTTCCATTGGGAACGTAGAGTTTAAAAATGCTGAATTCAGAACTGAAGAGTATAATAATAATCATATTTGTTGTTTCGCTACCAGAAACTAGTGAAATAAGAATTGTACAGTGGTCAGACTTGCTCCCTAATGCCATTATGGGTAATACCTATTTTGAGAAATTCTCACAGTG